ATTTTTTACATAGACTGTGTTAAAATTGATTAAGTTCTGGTCCGTTATTAGTTGGAAATGTCTGGCCAGCAAACTATCACAACGCTTACTTTTGAACATTTTATTTTCCCTGGTGAAATTGTAGGTTCTTCATACATTGTCCAGACATTGTTAATCAATTACAGTCCGTATTTATCTTGGTCATAGCCTACGTTAATAATAAATGAATTAAGAATTAAAGAGTTTTATTTTAAAGCCTCAGAAAGCAGAATGTAGGCTATAGTGGTTTTTACTTCAAGAATGATTGGACTCAACATTAATGTACAATTCTTTAACTAGCATATTTATTTTAAATATGTACTGCTCAACAAGTACTTAACTAATATTTTTTAAGAAATAACATTTAGATAGTAATGGTACGAAAATTGTATTTAATGAAACGAAACCCATCCTTGTTAAGTATTAGTAATTCTGTATAAAGTAGTGTTATGTGGAATTCTATGCCTATACTGAGCGTGCAGTTCCACATATTCGCGGTTGGCCTGGGTTGGCCTACTGTAGCAGTCTGTGGTTGTATATAAAGGCTAGTTGTTCTCCGACTACGAGAGCTGGTCAACGTCAACTCAACAGTCAACATACAGTATATTGACCGCTCACTCATGTAACTTGTAACACTGTTGGCTTTCCAATCCTGTCAAGACAGGAATAAATACAGTTTTAAACTAAGTTTAAATTCTGAAGTTGATTTCCCAGTGACTTTAGTACAATTTTTTAGAACACTAAATTTATTTAGTAGAATCTGCCCAGATCACGAGTACAAATTCCTCTAATTAAATCTAAGGACTCGAATTGCCTAGCCTAGTTCTAGTTTACCTATTTGTTTCAACGATTGGCGCATTGCGCATATGATACACATACAGTAGTGGGTAGTATAGTTTGGGACACTACAGAAATTATCAGCTGTACTGGATACGACAGACTGGTATTTGACCCAAAGTGATCACTTAAATCATGCTTATTTTTAACCTTTTGTAACTAAAACCTTTATTTTAAAATTATGAAAGTGACCATGCTTGTCATAATTTATCGTAAATTATTTTCGACTATATTTTTAAGTAATCGTATAGTAATCATTCAATTTGTAGAATTCAATAAATTGCACACAATAAATTGAATTTATTGAGTTTATATACATATTGTAAGGTCAACAAGATAGTTGTGTAAAAAAAAATAATTATATAAAAAGTTTAATTTTAATATAAGATCATTGTATACCAACAAATTAGCTTAAAAAAATATATAGCATTCTAGAAAGCTCATATTAAATTATATATTTTATATTACCATACCGGATGTTGACCATTCGTGCCGGCAAATTGAAATAAGAACATTCGGCCTAATCATTATTAGCAAATAAAAATGTTAATAGGTCGTTTTAACGCCCAAACCATTAAATATTACTGATTCGTCTTATGTAGATTTTATAGCCACCAGATGATTGGATTTGCAGGTGTTTGTCGCTATTGTGCGTTGAGTCGTTAACACGCGGTATAAACTGTGAAATATAAAAATATCAGTTAACAACTTTAGAAAGCTACAGTTATCGAACGTCAATAAAATCTTATTGTCTATTGTACTTGTACATGTCTGGAGAGGGAAATTCGAGGGCTAGTTCTTATGAGCCCCCCTCCCCCCCTCAAAAAAAAAATAAAACGTAGAAGAATGCAGTCCCGAACAGCTGCACAGCGGCGAGCCTCTTTGAATACAAATTTGTAAATCTTCCCCCCCCCCCCCACGGATCAAGTAAGAACTCAAACGCTCTCTTTGAGTGGCGTGGACAATTGAACTTAATTATTGTAAATAGGCATGACTAGTTTTTTGCCAAAACCTTTTGAAAATTTTAACAGTTATGTTTTTATTTGTTAGTTGAAACATGGTTGAAACACTCGCGAGAAGTCAAACAAGTTTTGGGCCCGCTTCTATATCAGCACCAAACTTTTTTGTTCATGTTTTACGCGTGGTAAAAAGTACTAGGCTATGTTTAGAATTTGTATCCTCTTTATTTTGGGAATGTTGATGCTACTGTTTTTGTAACTACAGTACCGTATGTAGCCTACTACATAGGCCTACTATACTAGTTTTTTAACTGCATATCATTTATATTCTAAAATAATTCACAGAAAAACAAGCGTTTTTTGGGGAATTGTGACAGAAATGTGATTAGTAAAAATGCCCAATAGTTGAGTTAATTCTATTTTAAATCAAAATATCCGTTCCAACGTAAAATTACATGCGGGAGTGAAATATTTGTTCCATTATACATTATTGTTCAATATGTAATGGTGAATACGCACTACTAAGTAAGTATCATTATATAAACAAAACTATTCTTTGTATACATGCAACGTAGTCAAGTGTAACTTTTTTTTTATTTGCCCCTCGTCACTAGACTCATCAAACTCCGCGGCACTAGATGCTAAATGTGCGATTTTGGCGCGGCGCTATAGGTACCGACATTTCACACATTTGCCAACTTAGTTTCGTATGTTTATTCAATGCGATCGTCTAAAAAACATTTCATTACACTACAAATTTAAGCTCCCAACACACAGAAAAGCATCCGTAAACCATAGCTTATAATTCTAACAATGATACGTTTCTGTCAACAATGTTCGACCTCGGCCTGCCATGTCAGCAACGTAGAAGGTCGCATACATAACAATAATATCCTTCCACATACTTCCACTTGGTTTCTTTCATACTAAATACTGGTACAGTATGTAGAATCATTATAGATTATATTCATCTTCAGCGATACATTACTTGAGTATTATTGTATTTTATAATAAGTGCGTTGCGGATTTCATACTAATGAATGTTTTCAATTACGTGCAGTTTTCATTGCATTATAAAAAAAATAGTTAATATTATATATACAAATTCACACAATACAAACACCAGCATCTAATTTGGGGGGTCAATATCTAAATGGCTATTACACTTGCTGATTTTATATTACAAAATTGATTTTTTTCAATTTCAAAATTGGGTATAGGCCTATATCTGCGTGCGTAAGCTTAGTTATTTTTTTTTTTTTTCATTGCAAAATTAGCCTCTAACAGACTGATAAGTTGCGCCTTTTTCTCAATAAACGATATGATTTAGGCGTAGTTAGAATATTAATTCATAGCTTTAAACTCCACGCTAATTTGGAAAATTACAACTACTCGTATTATTAATTTTATGATTCCAAAATTGTTTATGATAACGCTCATGGCTTTAAAAGAGTGTACTTGTAAATATACTGTATATATAGAATGCCTTGTTTCAACGAAAGTTGTAAATATTAGACATTGCAAGTCTAATCTAATCGTAGTGGTAGCGGGTGATAAGTACCCTGAGATCTATTTATTATAGTCTATATTTTCTCAATCATGGAACCGCGTCTAAAAAGAATTTTTTTACGATTTGGTCACGATATTTTTATCTGTAAACCTCTCTTGTATGTTCTGCATTGTGTTTGGTAAGGTTGTTGGAATGCTAAGATCAATATGAAACATTTTGAGTAGGCTACGCGCTGAATGTTTCATATTTGTATACATTCCTACATTTATATATTTATACATTTTTATACATTTGAGGAAGTAAAATACGTTTTAACTATTACTGTAATTTGCAAAGCGTGTAAGTAAATTTTGTTGAAGGGAAGGGGACTAAAAATAAAAGTGTATATTATTTAATTTCAATACAATGTATATTCGACTGATTTAGTTCCCAACAATCACCTCCAATAGTGTAGTGACCGACACAGAGCCCTTGGCTAGGCGAGCGCTGTGGAACTAGCAAGGTGAACTACTGATCCGTTAATTTCAGATCTGATCTAAGAACAATATTTTACTCGGGAGTTTATAGGCGCCTGCGGACTGTGAGGACATTCTACTTTGCCATTGTCTTTCCAACGCTATTGTTTTGTATCGTTATCGAGTTGCGTTATAACTTTGAAACGGCGACAGATTTATTCTACATGGCAATGGCAAATGCGTGCGAGTTAGCTATGATGGTAAAGCTTTATATGAAAGAACTTTTGAATGCGAAATGGAATTTTACCAGACCATCGATACGTTTTATCATACATAATGTAAGCTTGTCACTATATTATTCATCGTTAGCAGCCATGGGAAACCGAAACCAAATGTCTAATCGACATTGGCCTGGAGTGATAGTTTCTCTATCGACAAACTATAACCATATAATAAAGCGTTTAGGTCCAAATAAAAATTAGCTTGAAAAGTGTTTAAAATGAAAAAAAATCTAGTTTCAACATTGTAAGTATAAAATCATTCAAGCTAAGCGGGGGTCAACGGATAGTCACGAGAATGGAGACTGAAACTCGTTATTTTCTTATTTTCAAACAAATATATCCCCCCCGTAATCTCGAATTTCCCCCCCCCCATGTTATTCTTATGGGAAATAGCATTGAAAATTGCCGACTTTGGTAAGCTCATCTGAACAACTTAGAAACGTGCTAGAGACTTCAAATTTGAAAAGATTTGAAAGAATCTTAGCGAAAGGAAATTAAATTTTCTACAAAACCCTCTTTGGCGTTTTCCGAAAATCGCATTTGATCCATTTAATTGTTATTTATTCACTATCGAAGTAGGTAGAATACTGCAATTAAGGAGCTTAAAGCAATACCTAATCAAATCATTTAGGCCTACTTGTAACCGTCTAGCCGTCTGGCTGGTTTTATTTGGTACCGGTACTCATTGGTCTAGAAGCATTCTACAAGTGCGTGCAGTCAACAAAGTTTATAACAAATATTTGTTCTGTATGTCAATATACTCTTGTACATAATACTGTACAATGTAAAATGCTGTATGCCATGTATTCAAATATATAAATAAAAAATAATAAATATATAAAGAGCACCTTTATTTCTTTTGCCCTGTTAAGCGGTTACAATCCATTTGATATAAGATCTTATGGATTGCTTTTGCTTTGTGACCAACTCCAAGACTCACCTATAGCAGCACAAGCAGGACCATCCAAAGCGTCGCCAGACAGTTGTGTGACGGCCAGCAGGAGGTCGCCTACCAACAGACAGGCTACATGGTTGGTCTGACATCTCCAGTGTAGCACGTGGTAGGTGGAGGGTAGCAGACAGGAGGCGACCAGGGTCACGGCCAGGAACACCACGGACAGGAACAGTCCGATGGGGTACAAGGTGAAACGGATGTCGTCTCTAGCGAGGATACCTTCCACGGCGTCAGGACAAGTAAACACGTTCACACCGTCGTTGGGATGCTCGAAGATGTGTTCGATGCAGAACTCCTGAATCACGTTGTTCCTGAAGCTCAAGGTCCCGTCGGGAAGAAGTTTGTGGGTGTCATCCAACTTCCCGGAGATCACAAACCCTTCAGACTCCGCACACACGGGGAAACCCTCCACGAAGGTGACGTTGGGTATGTTCAAGTTCTGCGAGTGAACTTTACACGAGGAACTTCTTTCGCTGAACACCGCCTTTCTCCCGCAACACTTCTTTACCCTGGGTAACTGAGTAGACGCTTGACTCTCCGCTGTGGGAGGACACACGAAACAGCCGGCGATGTTGACACAGTACTTACCCGGGTCTATGGGTGGGATTTCTTGGACATGAGGCACTGTTAGCACTAGAGATCCGTTGTCCAGGAGAACGAACGAAGGGGGTTTATTCGGGTCGGCGACAGAAGGGAAGAAGTAAGGAATCGCACCCGAGTCACACGCGGGAAAAGTGTTCTCTTGCATTTTCCAACCCCCTGGAAGAGTGTTCGGTTCGTATAGACCGTTCCCTGGGGAATAAACCGCGGGTAACCAAGTAGGTATTGAGATGGGTTTGCACGAATGGTCTTCCTCCACCATGGTTCCATTGGGACAACAGTTGTAGACGACGATCTCGCCGGCTGTCAACGACACGAGAACCGACACGAACAGTGCGCGGAGGGCCATGATTGGCGACTGAGCACTGAGGACTGACGCCGCGCGACATAGCAGCGAGCGACGAGCGATACCTCTACCTCCCCTACATCCCCTCCCCTCCAACCCACACCACGGCACAACCGCACAACTGGACAACTGCGACAGCTGATAACGCGCGGGCGCCACCGTTTGTAAACAAGGACTTTGGCAACCTTGCACAGACATATGTTTACTCTTGGGATATGCGAATCACGGTTCTGGAAAGTACAGCAATGTCATCGAACTTATTAGGACCGAGTGACTAATGTGGCTAAATCCTCTTGCAGGAGTATGGAGGATGAATAAATCAGTGCAGAATCAATATTAGCCTAGGTACAATAAAACAGCAAACCTTATCATGAACGTGGTCCTAGGTAAATGGTTAAGAAGACTTAGAGGTATAATATTGATGTATGAATGTTATTTTGCTTATTGCTGAACAGAATAATTCCAATGCACGTTTCATATAGAAATTACTTGAAGGGGTTGAATAAAATTAAAATCTTCCAATTAGAAATTAAACTACAACAAGCTGCCTATTGTAATATATCAAGCTCATAGAACGATTATTCTAAAGCAGCAAAACTTAAAGACTACATAAGAAGGATGTATGGTAAAGTTGTATTTGCAATTGATTATGACTCAATAGCAATACCATTACCACTTTTTAACACTAAAAAAATAAGTAGGAATCACAACAAAGATACTAAAACTTGAACAAGTAGGAATAATCACCAAGAGTCAGTCAATGGGATCATGAACCAACTTCATTTAAATCTGTGTCGGGATCTGTTTTATAATAGCAATACTCGATCATTATTATTTGTAATACTATCGTGATATGAAATATTTTACTATTTTAGATACACATGAAATATATATATTTTTTTACGAAAAACACGTTATCGATTAATGGACAGACATTGTTTGTTTAATTGAATACAAATACAACATTTGTACTGTGACATCTAACTCGACTTTGTGTAAAGTAAAACATTACAAGTTTGCGAACAGCACGTCTTCATACTAATTACTATACTATAGTTATTTCACTTAATCAGATTTTAAATCAATACAAATAAATAAATAAATAATGTATCGAACAAATTAATAATGGCATCATAAAGAGTTGGCTTTAGAGTTCACGTTGTCAATGTTAGCTTTGGTACAGAAAACCTCAAAAGTAATATAAGATTTTATTCGTTTTACGTAACTGGTGTATAGTCGGTTTCGTCTTCCTTTCACAAAAACCTCCTATGAAAGGTGCTTTTGTACTTTTTGCTACCGTTGCTGGGAGAAGCAATCCTCACAATGCCCCGCGTTAGTTCTTCTCAGAACCCCTCTTTTTGCGCGCCTCCTCGCCGTGTAAATAGGAGCCACCCTGAAGGAATGTTAGATTTATGTAAAGGAATGAATCTTTTGAAACCACTAGGCTGATGCATTGTAACGCAATATGTGCGGAAAGGATATACCACATTTAGTTTACTCGAGTTTTTTACAAAATAAAATACCGTATATAGTTAAATAGATTGATTACTAAAACATACAGCTCTGAATTGATGAAAGTCTTGGCATTCTTAAACTACTTAACATTGTTTGATAAATAGAAAGTAACAAATATTTTTACCAATTTGCTTTTAAGTCGTCTGTAGATCAAAATGTTAAACGTGTGATCAAGTTTTACTTCCTTGGAAGAATTGATAAATATACTCATCCTATTTCCTTTCTAAGACGATGTTTCAATTAAATTATTAAACTGCATTAAACTCATATCCTTCAACAGCCCTAATTAGGCTATATAAACCAACGATAGTTTCATTAAAGAGAAAAATATCTTAAGCAAAAAGGAAAATCTAAGGAAAAGTAACTTTTATTTGAAAACTGACAACAACAAGGGGGGATCCCCGAGGTTGATGGAACCGTTTAAGAAATAGTTGTACGTATACAGTAACAAAGCTAGAATTTTTCTCCATTCTACGCTCTTCCTTTATTCAAATTTATGTTATAAACACACCCTTGTAGCGTCCCCACCTCAATTGATAATCATATAATATAATAACATGTTATTACCTTACCTGGCTGACAGGTACTTTGAGTTACTGGGCCAGGAGGCCCAGATGTGTGATACATTGTTATTATAATACTGCACCCTTCTCTTCTCTAACCAGCCCTTGTCACTTCTAAACTTCTCTATCACCCTTTCACTACCGCTTCAGGTTTGACATACAAACCCCCTGCCTCCGTGGTTACATTCTTCTTCTCTCTTTGCTTCGGTGGTTCCGTTCAAAACCACAAGTTTCTAGGTAGGTAGCCAGGTATGTTAGTGGTTGTTTACGAATTCCGAAGGAGCTTATCCAGCTAAATGTTTAAAATAGGATTACCTCTCCTCTTCTAAAGGCTGTTATTGTGACGGTCTCCTCTTCCAATGATGTTTACTTTTACACTTAGAAGCAATTCCATGTCTAGGATTTCTTGGAAGAGCTTCACAACGATTGAATGAGTTTCGACAGTTTTGTGTCAATTCATTTGAAACAGACCTGAACTTGGTTTATAGTTTACTAGCCCGTTGGTATCATCTTACCTAATAAATCAATCGATAAATAATTTCCATCGATACGACAGGAACAATTGAAATTTAAAACTCTTTACAACGGCTGATTTTTACTCCCTACGGACTAATAATAAGTTTTACTTGACCTCAGGCCATAAAGAGTCACTTTAGGCCCTAGTAATGAAATATACTATTTCGTCATGCTGCAACAAAAACAACCGTGTTAAATAATGCGTGAGGTTAAATAATGCATGCGTTGCGGGTCTAAAGTGGCATTTTTACTCTGTAGGGAGTAAAAATAAGCTGATGTCAACTCGGTTATAAATTTAAACAATCGCACGTAACGAAAGTATGTATCGATTGTTTAATGGATTAAATTGTAGTTTATTTTTGCCTTATTGTAACTGGTTTGACATATCGATAGTATAATGTTAATGTACACTAACACAATCAACGAAACTATTGAATCACTTACTAAACAGCTGCTTAGTTTTCATTATCAGATTAAATTAAAACAGCTTAGAATTAGTTTTTTGAGGTAACTTTAAATGAAAACTATTTAGTTTTGTAACATATTTTGTTCAAATAAAGTTGCAATAACATGACGAAAAATATAGTTCATCACACGGGCAAAGTGCCTTTTCAACCCTCACTTACTTTCCGTCCTCGGCTTCGTCTCAATGTAAAACTTGACCTCGGGTCGAAAAGAGTCACTTTAGGCCCTAGTGATGAAATGTACTATTGTTTTATATGAACAAAAATGTAAACAATACATCTGGTCAGCCGTTATGATCTTATCTTGGTGAAAATCTGGTGGGAGTTGGCCGAGTACGCAGGTCTATTGTTATCATTTTGCCTGTTTTAAATTTAATCGAAAATTTCCCCGTTTTTCAATGACTTTTAGGCTACAACCTTTTGGATATGGTTAGAGCTAATACTAAAATAAGGTATTAGAATAGAAAATTGTTAATGTTTTTATGAGGTTACGGGTTTCATTCTGTGCGTATTTTGGTAGTAATAGCATGTGCAATAACTCCTAAAATGCAATAAAGTGTGTAATTTAAGAACCAGTACAGTATGTTTTCGACCGCTTTTATTGGCTTTTATTAGTGATGCCTTGAGCGATCACGAGGAAAAAGTCAATTTTCACATTTTAGTGAATTTCCTATATAGGGAATAAGCTATTGCTGTAGGTTTCATGGTAAGACCTAGACCCAGGACAAATTTACTTTTTTGTTTTGAGGTCCCAAGAGGCCAAAAACACCCTCCGTTCAAATTCACCCGTGCGGCCATCTAGAGTTCTCGAGCGGCATGACTGTTTGTGCTCGTAAAACACACAAGATTTTCCTACCTCCATAAATAACTCATAATAACACACAGATTAACTTTTTAGTTGTATATCAAATGTCATTTATGTTATATTTACATTTTAAAGGTTATGTTATTGCTTACCGGTTGTTATCTAACGTCCCGGATCCGCAGCTGTGGTTGGTGTAAAAACGAAAACCGTAAAATCAGCTGATTAGCGAGCGGGAATGGATCATTCCCGCTCTAGAGCGGCAATGAACTATTTTGCATACTGTTTACAGTAGAGGCGATGTGATCATTTCCCGTAAAATTAACAGTTTAAAAATAGTATGTCTTTGAATTTCCTTAATCGATGGAAAGTGTTCCTACATCATGCAATGACTACCCAACGTCCTTTGGTTATCAATGATTATCATCTGCCAATCAACGTCATATCCCGATCCACCGGAAACCCCCATTTACTCAGCTAACGAAAATAACATCAAAGCACAGCACAAACTCACCAAACTGATAAAAGAATACATGTGTAATATATCATGACTCCATAGCCCTATGGAGGCTACAAGTATAATATAGCAAGCTCAAGTATATATCGTTGTTGATGTTTAGATTCGGATTTGATGCTGGATGTTTGGTATATCTTGTGATACCTATATAACTCACTATTGTGGTTACTCATTAATTGATGTGAAGGATCCTAACTGTTGCTATACAATATATTATCATAATTACTATATATATATATATATATATATATAAACTGTAACTTATATACAGGGTGTTGCAAAAAGAATCATCCGATATTATAGGTTTACTAGCTGGCCCGACAGACATCGTCCTGTCCTAATGTGGTTTTATGTCAAATGCTCGTTCATTTTCAAGATGAGCTCGTTCGCATGGCTCAATCACGTCCTGGTTGAATTTAATTTCGTTCGCTACGCTCACTTGCCTCCAGGTTAGCTCGTTCACTACGCTAACTCGCCTCCAGGTTGAAGTTCGTTCGCTACGCTCACTCACCTTTTGGTTGCAAATTTGCTGTTGTCATAAATTTAAAAAGATAATAGTGCTGCACCCTGTTGGTAAACCTATTAACTTTTAATGTTATTGAACATCACAGAACCAAATTGTTTAGTTGATCCAG